GGTTTCCTTGCTGGTACTGTCATCTTACATAACTGTAGTACAGTCTCAAAGTCCACAGACATCATTCAGATTTCTCCAGTTTTTCACGCACTTGTTTGTGTGTATGCATTTAGTTCTGTGTAGTTTTATCACGTGTGCAGATTCATATGACCACTCACCACAGTAAGAGACAGAACAGTTCATCACAAGAGTCCCTTGTGCTTCCCTTTTATAGATAGAGCCACCCCTCCCCCTGCCCCTCTTCCTAAAACCTTGCTACCACTAACCTATTCTCCATTCCATAGTTTTGTCATTTCAAGAATATTATATCTTTGGAGTCGTATAGTATGTAACCTTTTGGGGTTGGCTTTATTTACTCTGTATAATCCCCTTGAGATAAATTGAGAGCTTTTAAAAAGTGACTTGCAAAGAAAGTCTAACATCTTTCCACTGGCCACTTGCGCTTGCCTTTTAGCAAAAAAAGGCAGGAATGAGCACTACAAAGGCAAAAAAGTTCTTCATTTGAATGTTGGGAATTCCTTCCCTCCTTCCTTCTTTTTAAGATTTTATTTATTTGATAGAACATACAAGGGGAGGGCAGAATTCCTTTTCTGATCAACCCGTTGATCTCTTGGTAGAAAACAGTCATTTTTCTTTTACAGGGCATGGTCTATCTCTATACTTGTCTGTTTCATTTCCAAAGACCACTCCAGTTCATCTTCCACTTTCCCTGTTTACTTCCTCTTTTTTCAGCCTGACGAGTTGAAAACAGATTGTTGTGTGAATTAAGTTCTAGAGATTTCTCTAGATTGTTATAACCTGACAAATAGAGATAACAATTTGACCGAAAACTTCTTTTTTTTAACTGAAATACATGCATAGGAGAGTCCTTGTCATTTCCATTGGCCTTACAGGAAATGATTAAGGTTGCTACCTCACTAAAAGTCTTGTTTGGAATTTTTTTGCCTCAGAAGTAACTATGACATGTATCATTCATTTGGATAATCTGAATACCATCCCTTGGAAATTTTATTACATAATAGGAGCTCCATCTCATATCAAGTGATTTGGAGTCTTGATTAACAGTTTTATTTTTAGACAAGTATGTACATGTAGTGTATCACATTTTAAGCTGTAAATAAGAGTTGTTTTTAATCCATTGTCAATGTGTCAAGAATTTAGGACCCCCACAAGCAAAAGTTCTTTTAAGGTATTTTATTGACTTAGCATGGCTTCAAATAAGTAAAAAAATATTTCATTAATAAATATTTAAATAAATGGAACATAATCTTTTAAGGGAAACTAGCTCACATTTATAGGAATTGCCGTACATTTACTGAGAGGAACTATAATTGACATTACTTATCTGAATAAGCTTGAGAAAGTTCTTACAATTATATGGGAGTAATTAAGTACTGACCACCCTGTGTATCCAGATGTTTATCTGGTGATTGCTTTCAAGATTTTTTCTAAAGAAAGCATGGAAATTTAGTGTTTTCCTCCTTTGGTGTTACAGCCCTAAGAAACGCTTGCCTATGTACTGGGGCAGATGTATACTTCTAGTCTCAGAGCAAGGTTGTCACCCAGACATAAACATAGGAACAAGTCCAGACTCATCCAGTAATCTTCCATATCAATAATCCTGTCTTTAGCTTCATTTAAAAATTAGGAACAATCAGAATTAATTTTGCTTTTGAAAATGCCTTACTAAATTATAGTATTTTATATAAACATGTTACTGACAGTGAAGATCCAGAGCCTAACAAATTAAGCACTGAGGTGTTTACATGTTGAAACTATCCCTATGTCCATACAACTACCAAAAAATGATTATTAACCATTCCCATTCTTTTTTTTTTAAGATTTATTTTACTATTTTAAGAGCTGGGGTTGGGAGAGGGAGAATCTCAAGCAGAGTCCCTTCTGAGCATGGAGCCTGATGCTGGGCTCCATCTTACCACCCCTGAATTCACAACCTGAGCTGAAATCAAGAGTCAGACCCTTAACCGACTAAGCCACCCAGGTGCCCCCTCCCAATCCCATTCCACATAAGACAGCATTTGATAAAATGCCCAGAATGCTGAAACCTTCATTTGAATCTTAGTGCTGACCTTTCCAGTCTACATTTCCACTTGCTTATTGAAACTAAAGAAACTAAAATATTAGTCAACAAATATTGAACGCCTACTATATATCACCCATTGTACTAGGCAGCAGAAGTGTTTCAGGCAATGTGTGACTTCACTCAGCAATTTAAGTTTGTGGGTTTATTGCTGTTATTTTCAATTTGGGACATAAACTTCCTTCCTGAAGCAGTCTTTAACTGTTATTGTCAGTTTTAGATTGTTTTAAATGTAATATTTGATGATTTCTTAGATTTATGTATTTATAGACTTAGAGTTTGCATATTTTCTTTTTTCCCTACCCAAAGGGATAATTAAGTTCTCAGTAGATTTTGAAATCTTACCTTGCATCTTGTTTTGAATTTGTAGCCCAGAGCTCTACCATGAGTTAAAACTTTAATGTTTTCTGGGGCCAGGCAGGTATCATAAGTGTATGAAGCAGGTCAGTGTGAGTAAGTAGGGCTCAGTAGGGTCTGTGTCAAACTAAAACGTTTATGTCCCCCTGTAAACATTAAAAAAAAATGTTTTTAAACCTGTCAAACACAGCTAGAGGTCCAAAGTTTCCGACATTCTGAAAATCTAGATGCACGTGAATTCTTTAGACCATTGATTTTGAAACACAAAAACGAAATAATCAGTTTACTGGTAACAGTGATATATATTAGTTTTAAAATAAATGCTGGGAATTTTGCTGCATGAACCATTTATGGTGTGGGTGATGTGTATTATTTAGTTTAATATATTGTGGACACCTTTCCATGTCACATCATGTAGATCTATACCTCATGTTGTTTAACAACTGCAGATTTCCATAGTAAGGATATACCATCAGCTATTTTTCCATTTCCATATCGATGGATAATAGGGAAAGTCTGAAGTATGCTTTGGCATTGTCTTTGCAGATTCTAAGAATTAAGTCCTTTTTCCTCCCCTTTTTCTTTGTTACTTTTAAACATAATTTGAATAAAAGCCCAATAGAAATTAGTTTTAAACTTAAAAGACAATTCTGAGAAAAAGTAGATTTATATCATTTATATAACTCTTAGGAAGCTTGAATTTAATTATTTTTTTTTCTTGTTAAACACATGGCTGAACCATTATGAGGGGCATAATTTCTTGGACATTAATGGCTGAAGGACCCTTATATAGTAGTGTGATTCCATTAAAAGATTCCATATAAATTCAAAGTATATAGTATATATCAATATCACATATAAAGAGACAGCTATGAATAGTGTATCTCTTGAGAACTGAAATTCATATTGTAGAGATCTTGCATTCCTTGCTTTAACAATCACTCATTACTTGTTTGTTTTACAAAATAAATAAGTGGTGCTTTCTTAAAATTTAATCATTCTTATAAACTTACTTGAATTTTGTTCAGATGGAACTTAAAAAGTTTCTGGATTGTATTACTGTATTACTGATTGTATTACTTCCTGTATTACGCTCTTTGGTCTAATTTCAAATTTCATTCTGGTTTAAAAAGGCAGCAAGAAGTTCTTACTGGACATATAGAAAGAGCTTTTCACCTGGAATATAGATTGCTTTTTCTGTTATCTTCTAAAAAACTTTTCATGGAAATAGAGTGCTGCACATACAGTTAGAATATAATTTCTAGTATAGAGTCTAGTTCTCCTCCATCTAATATGGGATCCAGTCACATCCCAGTAAATGAGGAATTGTTTGTGCTTAGCACTTTTCTAGAGAGATATTTTATAACTTTCAGTACATTTGAGGCACTAGGAATGGCATTGGCCGTGTTGGTGGTAGATAGTAAATCAGTGACCTGGCCTCTAATTGACTCTGCGGTAGGCACCAATTTATTCATTGTAGACTTGGCCATCTTAAAGATCTTCTGGTATTTTTTTAGAAGGAAAAAGTATTGGTAACTGAAGAAGAGAGCTTGGCTAACCTGGAACCAGGCACAATTCAAACCGGTACAATGACATTCTCTGTTCTTTATATATAAAGAAGCTGGGCTAGTCCCAGGACTCAGCTCTGGACTAGACCCAACTTTTGGGGAGGCCTTACTTCCTCTCTTAACAGAGGCCCAGAAGTATAGAAAATCCCACTTGCATTCCTGTAACTAGGGAAATGAGTGATGTCATGGTTTTTAAAAATAACATCAAGTTAATTATGGATAGAGAAAAAAATTTAAAAATGAACATTTAAAAATGTTTTACAAAAGGTATAAACAAACATATTTACTTGGAAGTGTAAATTCACTGGACCACAAAAATTTTAATTCCATTATTTACCTTCGGTTGTTCACTGAGGATGAATCTCTGTCCTTTGTCACTCATAGCTTCTCCTCTGCCCTCCCACAATAAATGATCGGGCATTGGGTTTAACATATTATTGATTCCTCCTTTAACCATTGTAAAGTTCTTTACTGTTTCTGGTTAATTTGTTTACATTTGAATAATTTTTGTAGGATAAAAAGTTATATTAATTCATTGTTTCCCCTTTATTTTTTCTAAGTAGATTATCAACTAAATTTTTCTTCTGTTTAGTGATATGACCTGCAGTGTCACCACTTTTGTTAGTTTTTCAGTGGAAAATATGTATGCTAAAGTAATAGTGATAACCTACAAAAGCCCAACTCTGAACATTGTTGGAGTAGTTAAAATATAAAAGCATAATGAATTTTGGTTTTCCTTTATTTATTATGACAAACATATCTGCCCCCCCATATATTTAAACAATGGAAATGAAATCATATGCCAAATTGTCATTCTTTTAAAAAAAAAGTCTTTACAGAATTTAAATAGATAAAACCAGAAAATAGCATTAGTAATAGTTCAGAATGTGATTGAAATGAAAAACCTAGGAGTCATTTTTATTTACTTTCAAAATTTCAAGATTTGTATTAAAAGAATCCTTGTCTTCTTTCAGATAAATTTGCGCCTCATCTTGGTAAGCGGGAAAACAAAAGAGTTCCTGTTTTCTCCTAATGATTCTGCTTCTGACATTGCAAAGCATGTGTATGACAATTGGCCAATGGGTGAGTGGTGTTTTTCTCTTGAGAATGAATAACGTTAATTCTTTATGCCCTACCTTGTTTCACAAACATTTTGAAAAAGTTATGAAGATTTTTAAAAACCAAATAATTGAGAGATTAGTCTTGGGAGTTAAAGGGGAAGGAACACTGTTATCTGTCACTTTGTCCTTCAGCTACTTCATTGCAAAATGGGGAAGGAGCCAGTACACAAAATCTCTTTTTGCCTTAGAACCATTTTAATGTGAATGAAAATTGTTTTTAAAAAGAAAAACACAAAGTAGCTAACAGATGCACATAACTTTCATATCAGGAAATCTGTTTATAACAAAACACAAAGTAAAAGATAATAAAAACTATTTTTAACAAGTTAAAATATTTTCTCATTGGTCTATCCTATCTATAACCTATTTAAAATTGAGTTTGACATAAAGTTAATTTCTAATTCATGGCACTTCGTGTGTCCTCTGAACAACAAGGGCAAGAAGGTATAAAATCCACTTATGCATTGCATTTTCAAGTCAGTATCCACGACAAACAAAATTTGAGGGAGTTGGGGAATGGTATTCTTCCTTTCTCTGATTCTTTTCCATGCGATAAGATTTTGCCTTGCCATCCTACAGTGAGTCTTTAGCTTGTTTTTTTCCTTTGAACTTTCCCTAAGTCAGCTTGGTCCTTTTTAGGGCATGTATTATAGTGATATCAATGTTTCAGCTAATTTAACTTAATTTTACTGGCCAAAGCAGTTTGGACTTTTAAGGGACAAGACTCATTTCAACAAAGAACACAGTGTATTCACAATGAATCAATCAGGTCAGTGTTTCTCAACCTTAAATAATATATGGAACTCCTTTAGAAGAAAAAAATTCCTATAGATTCCCTAGTGCTTACTTAAATTATTTTTATTACAATTTTTTTTTAAGATAGAAACATAAAACCCATTTAAGATGCTTTATCCTTATTAACGCATTCATAACCATAAGACTAAAACAGATCTAAAAAGAAAATGCAAATATAATTCTAAAACCAATAATGTTCAAAGTAACAACATTAATGATACATTTTTGCTAAAACCAACTCTCACTGCTTGTGCCGTGAATATAGATAGTACTGTTGAGTTTGGCACATGCCTCTGCTCCTGCTTGCTATACGAGGACCCAGTTATCTGCAGATTATTCACCAGAGAACCTTCATTTACAGTGTGCCCGATTGTCATTTAGCCTTCACTTAGCAAGAATGCATTGTTTATGTATTTAGGCAACCTCTGTTCTTTTCTTACTAGCCTCTCGACAGTTAAAGGAGTACTGCTTGGCGCCATAAACTGCGTATCTGAGCAATAAATCCCAAGACTGTAGTTGGTTATAAGGTGATTATTTGAATTATCTAGATAATCTCTTCCAGATTATCATTAAAATGAAAACATGGTTTAAAACTTCTTGAGGAGGACTTTCAGAACCATGCCTCTGTTGTTCTCGAACTCAGGATTCATAGACATACATTTAAGAAACACTGATTTGGACAGATACTTTCAATTGACCGGATCATTCTTCCCTTGACAATTAAGGGACTAGTCAATGTTAGTTCCTAAATCAGGTTAGAGGTAAGAAAGGAATTCAGAAAAGCTGAAGTAGACTAAACTTGGGGCTCTTAGGATATGGGAATTTACTCATAGCCATGCACAACAGTAACTAGGAAAAGCATTTTTAAATACTTGTCTAATAGTGATTTTTTGTTTGTTTGTTTTTTGGTTTTTTTTTTTTTTTTAAGATTTTATTTATTTACTTGACAGAGAGAGAGAGATCACAAGTAGGCAGAGAGGCAGGCAGAGAGAGAGAGAGGAGGAAGCAGGCTTCGCGCTGAGCAGAGAGCCCGATGCGGGGCTCGATCCCAGGACTCTGGGATCATGACCTGAGCCGAAGGCAGAGGCTTAACCCACTGAGCCACCCAGGCGCCCCTGTCTAATAGTGATGTTATACTAAATGTGATGTAGAAGATTACTTTTGTGATATGGGGAGGAGAGGGTAAAGATCAGTTTTGACATCTATGGTATTGTAGAAAAGATTACGCAAGACAAAAAAGGGCAGTTCCTCTAAAAAATTTATGTTTAGGGAGCAGCATTATAACTTGTGGTTAAAAAAAAAGTACTTTTACCTTCATAATTGTTTGACTTAGATATTAGAATTACTTTTAATTCCTTAAGAATCCTGATTAATCGTAACCAAAGGCAGGACTCAAATGCAGGTGTTTGTCATAAATAGTGTCCTAAATCAGTGAGCCAGCCAACTGCCAGCATTGGAAATTGATTGTATCAATCCCACCTTACTTAGTTTCACACACAAATTTTTGAGCCCGGCCTTTCCTAAGTTTGCTGCTTCACCCAGCAACTTTAGGCAATGCAGGGAAAAAATTTTTTATTTTACCTAAAACATTTAAATTAACAATCTAGTTCTACATTTTATCTCATAATAGGTCAGCAAATGTAAATATTTGTTGGCGCTAATAATGAAAGTATAGTAAATATTAAATCGGTAGAAGAAAACACTTGGTGCCATATATTTTTGGAAAGAGTTTTTCTTGGTCTGCTCTTAGGCAGTTTAGAGGAATATAGTTAATAGGTAGAATAGCTCTTACCAGCTCAGAGGTCCAAAAAAAAAAAAATCTGCTAAATATATGTTACTAGTTGCTGAAATTCCTCCTTAAAACATTGTCCTATAGGTCTCTCTAAATTACAGATCCTCTGAGAGGAAAAGGTAGATAGCATATTAAACCCAATGAAGTATGTGGAAATCACAACACTCTGTATAAAATAATGAAGTACGTAGCTTCAAGTTTTGCATCTCAAAAAAATACTTACAGATTTTTAGAGTATTTTTTTCTAATGAATTAGACACTGTCATTTGTCTTTATATGTATAGATACTTCCATCTTGACCAGGAATAGTCTGTTAAATGGTAATTTTGGGAGCAGTGAATTCAGAATAATCCATATTCTAAGGCTTAGTTGATCCTTCTTCTAGAAGAAGAGTTACCTGGGAGCACTAGTGTCAGAAGGCAACAGGGGCATATAAGTGGGGGAGGAAGGACCAGGAGAAAAAGCACCCAGGGCGGGGGTGGGGGGGGGTGTGCTAGAGAAGAAAGGACTCCGATTAATTTCTCCTGTCCCATTTCTGTTGTGCTGAGTCAGTGGGAGGCACACTTTTATCAAATTCATATTCATCATTTTGAACACTCAGAAGGAAAAGTGCTCTACTTACCTCTATTCTGTCACTTTTCTTTAGGATATTTTAAACTCATCCTTGTGTTGACAGCTCCTTCTTTAGGAAACAAACACATCATACAAGAATTCTTGAGAAAGATGATAATGGAATTCTCAAATCTTTGTCACAATCAGAGCTTAAATTGTTACGTCTACCAGCTAGTGAAATCACTAACCCTGTACCCTATCACAATATCAGTGTCCTTAACTCATTATTTTAACATAGTAGTATTCCATATTTCATTATAACAGAAGTTGTACACAAAATGAAATATTCTGCTACCCATCCTACTCACCAGTTTGTTTTTTTATTTTCTTTATAAGCATATTTGTGTATACCTTGTAATATTTTTCAGTTTTCTTCTTCTGAATATTTTGGGTAAAGTGAACTTAGAGTTGTATCTTCTATAATGTTTATCATTTGGTTTCAGAAGACAGAATAATAAATCAATATTATCCAAAAGTAAACATTGTTAATTTTTTATTTTTAAAATTTGTATTCTCTAGTTTTATCGAGGTACATTTTTTTTGTTACTCTCTATGTCAGTATATTAAAATCTTTGTTAACCTAATTGTCTCTAGCTTCAAATATATTTTTTAACAGGTACAAAAATTGGAACATTATAGTATTTTCTGTTAATTACTGGTAATAGCAATTAATTTTCAAATGACATTTCTCTTTTCCTAGGATTAGATTTTCCCCAACTCATTCATTTTAATCTTTAAACTTCAGGACTATAAACAGTGCAATAATACCTTAACATTGTCTCAAAATACACCTAACAAGTTCACTGCTTCTTTTCAGACTGGGAAGAAGAGCAGGTCAGCAGTCCAAATATTCTACGACTTATTTATCAAGGACGATTTCTGCATGGAAATGTCACATTAGGAGGTAATGGTCACCTTTGTAATGGGATTTAGTGTCTGTCTCATGGCAGTGGCATTCATTTGTTTGTTTCAGGGCTGTTGGCTGATTTTACAAAAAAAATTATTCCCAACTCATGAATTCTGCCTATTTTGGTAACTCTACTTCTTTACCTTTTGCATTCTGTTGAATTTCATTTTAGCACTGTGAGAAGTGTTTACTCCTTTATCAAATAAACTCTCTCTCATTAGATATAGGAATCCATACCTATTATTTTGTAATTTTATTGTACTTCTGGATAATATGTTAGATGTAATAGTTTTAAGTTAAAGCCAGACGCACAGAGTAGGCAAAGTTTATGACAACGGGTTTTCAGTCTGACTCTGTTATAATTGCCCATCTAGCAGAAATGAAGGTAAAAGAGTTTCGCTAGAGAGACCTTGTAGTGTGAGGATTCAAAGAGCAGATTTAGATCCTGGTTACCAGAGTTGTGCCTTGGCTCCACTGCTTCCTGCTGTGGAATCTTGGGGAAGATACTTAGCTTTCTTCATTGATAAAATGGGCTAACAATAGTGTCTACCTCCTAGGGTTAAATTATATATTCAAAGCACTTAAAACAGTACTTGGCACACAGTGAACGCTTCTTTGGGATCACTGCTCTTTATATGTGATTGGAGAAATATAGCTCAATAGTGCCCCCTTATGGGGTACATTCTCTATCATCAGCAGGTTTATTTTGTTTTTAGTTCCTGTATTTCAAATATACCCTGATAATTAGAAATTTGTAGGTAAATGAAGTGATCCACTCTAATATTTTTGTGTAAATATAGTCTGACTTTTTTTCTCTAAACCTAGCAATGGAATGGATCAATATAGGTGGGTGTTTGGTAAAGGTTGAATAACATCCAACTATGTGGTTTTTTTGGTCACAATTTTTCTTTTTAGTTTCCCTGTGATCTTGAATGTGAATAATAAAGGAGAGAGTACACAGGGTCATGGTAATTATCTTCAAATACTGGAATGGCTGGTGTGGAAGAGTAGGCTAGCTTTGTATGGCTTGAGACTTGCTCTGTATAACCTTGAATTAGACTTAAGACCAACAGGTGGGGATCAAAAGCAGACAGATACTATTCACTACAAAATAGAATTATTTGAGCATGTCAAGCTGCCTCAAAAAAGAATAGACCACTAAGGGAAAAGAGTGAAATCCTTGTTACTGGTTACATATAAGCAGTAGGTACAGCCATGGTCGGGGTTCAATCCTTCTGTGGATGGTTAAACCAGGAGACCTGGGCATTCTTTGCCACTCTTGGGATTTTATGGTTCCAGTAAGTTTCGGGTTTAATTTCTTTGTTACCAGGTTTCTTAAAACATAGCCCTGAATCCCCTTTTTTGAGATACAACTTTTTAGTTCCATAGAATTTCAGTCTACTAAAGAAAAGGTGTGGTAACAGTCTTACTAAGGATAAAGAAGATCAGCTATAAGTTTGACACTCAATACACTGCTGTTCATTCTTTCTCAAAATGTGATGGAGACTGTGGCATTCAGTCAGGAATCAACTGGGATACTTACTTCGAAATGCAGATTTCTACATGCTGGCTAGTTGGAGGAGAGCTCTCTCTGTCTCTGTGCCCCTTTCTTGTCCCCTCCCCTTCCCCCTTTCTTGTCCCCTCCCCTTTCCCCCATCGCCCAGTGTACTGCTGAATTGAAATCCTGGGTGATTTTTATGTGAGGTTGAAAACTCCTATTCTGGGAGCACCTTAGTGGCTCAGTCGGTTAAGCCTCTGCCTTCTGTTCAGGTCATGATCCCAGGGTCCTGGGAGTCTGCTTCTCCCCTTCTCCCTCTGCCTCTCCCCTGCAAATCGTACTCTCTCTTGCTGTTTCTCTCTCAAATGAATAAATAAAATATTTAAAAGAAAAAAAAAGTCCTATTCTAGATATTATACAGAGTCATAGTAGAAGCAGAAGCATCCACAGTGAAGGAAAGAGAAAACCTTTTAAATTCTTCCTTTCCCTTCTTTGAAACTGTTATCATCCATATCCACTAATTCCAGTTAAAATTCAAATGGAAAGGAAAAATAATAATCCCCATCAATCAAATCTGTAGCTTCAAATGGTAAGCCACTCAGCAGCTTCCCAGGCCTGTCCACACTTCTCTAAATGTACCTCTCCTTTCACTTACCTGTTTTCTGAGATCTGTCTTCCTTGCTTTCTCAAAATGAAGATGACGATGAGGGTAATATTGACTGCGTGCTTTCTTTGTCCAAAGCCCTGAACTACGCAGTGGTCCTTGACTATTTCAGTTAGTCAATACAGCTGTAAAGGACAGGTGATAGAATTACTGTCTCTATTTGGGTAGAGGAAACTGAGGCCAGGGGAGCAGGTAGATGACTCGCTCATGACTCATCTCACATTGGCAAGTAGTGGAGATGTGATTTTCAACCCAGATCCGGCTTACTAGAGTCCAGGAGATGATAGGAGACTAATCTGCAACTTGAAGTTCAGTCTTTCCCAGTACATTTGATGAAAAATTTTATAATCCAAAGCTCTATTATTTGCATTTTAATGTTAAATCAGCCCTAGGGGATGATCCAAAAAAGGACCTCCTCTTATTTCATCAAAGTGTGTATTTATGGGCCATCATACTTCATTTGAGCTTGAGAACTTAAGAGAATAGACCAAATAAATAAGTGAGCTAGAAACTCACCTTGATTATGAATAATACTGAAGATATAGAGGATCCTTTTTCAATCTACATGTTAACCACCATCCTATGGAGCAAGAGTTAAGAAGCAGGTAGCAGGAGGATCGTACTTGCTAAGTGATAATGGCTGTCAGAACTAAATCATCTCAACTATGGAAATAACTTTAAAAGTTAGATATACTGGCTGCTTCTAATTTTACACACAGAATAACAAAGCGATTCACCATGAAACTTAACGTCTGTATTTGCTTAAGTGGTTCGTGGATACATGGTGTGTGTTATATTATTCTATGTCTGAAGCATTTCATAATAAATTTTATTATGAATGAAAAAACCTTTTCAGTTAAGACTTGATTAGAAAACAGCGATTATTAATAATGCCAAGATAGTGGTTCTCTTAAAGTAACCGTTTAAAGAAAATTATTTTCTCATTGAAAAATATAGGGTTGAGAATAAATATTTAAAATTGAGTTTGTTGTTTGTTCTATTTCTACATTATATTGGCCTGTTCAGTGCAGTAATTTTATTAGGTGCTACATATTAGACAGATAATTAGACTCAGAAGCAGATGTCTCTTAATCTAAACTTTTCCCTGATCTAGAAAAGGTATTCTCAGAAACTTTTTTTTTTAGCTCCTTTTCTCCTCTGAAGGTTATCTCCAATATTAATTAATGACGTATTTTCTCTCGTCCCCTTCCTTCAACAGTATGATTATTGGTGTCAAACTAAGGGCCATAGCTGGGCAGAACAATTTCTGAATTGTTTCTAATAATATTAACCCACTTTCATTTTCTAAGAGATGCTCTAACTGGTAAGTGCAGTCTGCTGAGGGGGTCCTGCAAAGAGCTATCAGTTCTTTAAATGGTTTCAGTTCTGATTAGTGATTTCAGTAGGTCAGTATATATGTAACAGACTATCTTCTGCTTTTCCCATAGCATTAAAACTTCCTTTTGGCAAAACAACGGTGATGCATCTGGTGGCCAGAGAGACGTTGCCAGAGCCCAACTCTCAAGGTAATCCTCACACTGCAGAGGCATCTCGCTCAAGCCGCCGAGGAGACAGGCACTCAAAAATGGTTCCGTGTTTTTGGACCTTCTGAGGGAAAGGAAGTTTTCATTGTTTATGATCAGAGCTTGTTAAGCAAATAACCAGACATCCTGGAAACGGGCTATAATTAAAACAGCTATAATTATCATTATAGCTTTTTAATTAAAAAAAATTTGCAAACATTAAAAAAAATTCTTACTATGTTTGGATGCCCCCCCACCCCCCGCCCCCTAATTTGAGCATTTTTATAAACCAGGCTTTTCTGCATTTTCTCCAGGTCAGAGGAATCGTGAAAAGACTGGAGAGAGTAATTGTTGTGTAATCCTGTAAACACTGTCCGCTACGTGTGCTGTGATGTAGTCTTTGTCTTTCATGCTGCTGGGACAGAAGAGACCCAACATTGCTTCAGAATCCCTTAGGAAGAGTCTGCCTGTAAACCCATGGAACTGAATGATCTCATGAACACTGTCATCTCGCATCAGAGTAAAAAGAACCAAGAACATTTTTCATTTTTCACTACGATTTTTTATTTCTAGTATCTTTGTTTATGTTGAGCAGTTTTAAAATATGTTGGTTTGTGAATGCTGTCAATCTCCGGGGGCAGAGTTAACAAGTTATCTTTCCTAGCGGAAGCCATTTTGCTGCCACAGAAACGTTCACCACCAGAACTAACAAATCAATATAGTTTGCACTAACAAAGATTGACATTATTTTCTTCATCAGCAGAATTTGCAACATGGTTTATGGCACCTAGAAATGCTCAGAAATACAGTATTCCACACTGGAAAACATTCAGCAATTAATGGAGTTAATTAGTGGGCCAACTGGAGAGGGAGAAATGGAAAAGAAACTGAAATGTCGGGGGCATTCTATCGGAGTCAGCCCCGGTGGCCGCACTGGCACAGAACACACAACTGAGTGTGACTGTTTTCATCGCAACACATGGAAAAACAAAATGTGCCTGCTGTTTAAAGCACTCAGCGGAGAGCTGATGAAACAAATTGCTTTTCCTTTCACACACACACTCCTCAGTCACGCGGTCACCGAGTGCTTGTCCACACAGCACAAAAGGGGTGCGAGTGCGCTTCCTAGCCTTAACGTGGGAGGGTCCGTTCCATACTCGTAGACTTGCATTGCCGCGCAGAGATAATAGAAAACCTCATTTACTCATCAGTTTAATGTATTTGAAGATCAGCAAATTGAATTTTTCCATAATTATTGCTCGTCTGTAATTGTGTCCAGTGTCACACTCACTCATTAGAGTTCAAATGAATTCTTAAAATTAAAATAGTTCTCCATAGTAACTAATTTTATTTCTTTATGTAGTTTGCATTTGGTATTAGTGCTTGCAATTGTATTAAAATCAAAAGCTGACTTTTAAGGCATACTACATGATTAAGGATGCCATTCTTTTATTTTGTACCAATAACTTAAAAATTGATATGCTAAACCAATTTGCACAGCACTAAAGCATGAGCTAGTTTCATCTAAACCTGTAAAAATATAAAAGATTTTATATTTTTTCACTGGGAAGAAATTCTTCCTGGATGAAATTACAAATATGTGTAGAATATATTTAATAAAAAGCTTATAAAATACCTAACTATAGAACTTAAATATAGATTGGCGTGTAGTATATAGAACAATATTCCATATAAATAACTTTAGCCTTTATAAAAATGAAGTTGCAGGCTGACATGTTCTGTACTTAAGTAAGTGTCCATGGCCCTTAAAAACATTCAGTGTAAATGGTTTCAAATGGTCAGCTTTGTCTAAAGGTAATCAGGTTATTTTGTTCATTGTCAATGCTTTGATGAAAAGGCTTTATATGCAGTAGATCTACGAAAATATTGTTCATACTGATCAGAATTAAATTTGTATAGAGCAGAGTTTTAAAACGAATGTAAATAGCACTAAACATTTTCTTTCTGCAACCTGTACTTAAAGATTCTTTCTGTAAACTAAAAAAAAAAAAATATCGTAGTGCATTTCAGAGCTAATTTTGAAGGTCTTGGTTAAGTCAATTATTGTTTAAACACCGTCTCATCCATGTTAAAATTTGTTTTCTACTTTTGTTTCGGAATCTTTAAGAAATTTGTTTAATATTCTCTTGTTAGTTTCAGGAGTATTCACAGTGTATCTTTGATATTTAACCTGGTTAATTTGCACACAGAGCAACAATGGATAGCATTATGCAGTCTCTGTTATCACTAAAATGTTGTATTCGGATGTTAAATATTTATATGCTTTGTTGACTAGCTCAAATGTGAATTCTGTTAGTGTTGACTAAAGAGGAAACTGATAGTTACTTAATTGGGCAATTAAGCCATTTATGGCTCTATTCTTCTTTTGTAAAACAAACTACTGGTAATTATTTTTAATACCTATTTTAATTCTAATTACTCTTCTGTCTTTCCAAAGTTAAAGACTTATTATTATTCAATTATGATTGAATTTTTATGATGGTTTAAAAATAATTATCTTTTGGTTTTCAATATATTTTTCTGTGTGTTCTCATGTTATAAATTTCCCTTTTACAAGACCTCAATTTAAAGTTTGCAAAATGGATAAACCGGTTCATTAGTAGAGAAGGAATTATGTCACTTAATTCCTGATAACATTAACATTGTTGTGCAAAATGGAGAACAAAATAAAATAGCAGTAAAATTATATACTGAAAACACCAAAAATTTAGATGCCTTAATAGTATATCCATGAAAATACTCAACTATCCCTTTGAAAATAGTTCCTTGGACTGCCTGAGGTTAAAATATGATTAATCATATCCAAGGCTACTATTTGAAGATCCCTCTGCCAAAAATAACAGCTCACTTACCGAGAGGTAAAGGCTGCATAGATACGTAATGTAAATAAAGCCTGAATTATTGGCCTGTGACCCTGCCCAGCGCTTGGTATCTAACTCACCTCTTTTACCTAAATTATCCTAGACTTTGTTAAGTGTTCTGGACAAGGCAAAGCTTTTCTTCTTCTTTATTAAAACCTCAGCATGTCTCCTTGATCTGAATTATTTGCTTTCTGTTCAAGATAGGTTTTATCTTATCCTATCATGAAAAATAGAATATCTAACATCGTCAGTCACATTAAATGAGGTTTTCTCATAACAAACATTTATCTTTAGTTTTATGTCATCTTGAACAATGTTGCAGTAATTTCTGTTAGCTGATTGTGGTAAACAATGTTTAATGTGAAAACAAATTAAAACTTTCTTCATCTGTTGTAGAATATTTTCTTCTTTTAAATGACTTCTATTTGCAATTTTGGTGTATTTCCCTGTTCTTTGTTTCTATTGCTTTTCTCTTCAATGTATTTTTATTACATTCTCTAGTAGGATCACCCTGCACCAGCCTTTATTCTTTCATTTTAACCAAAATCAAAGAGAAATGATCAGTCAGAATTTAGCATGCCTTCACACCATCCTTATTGGTCATTGTCACGGGCATGTCTTCAGTTTTTTTCCATTACCATTTTGTAATACAGTCGCTTGTTAGCTGAACAGCAAACAGGTAGGAGGAGGGCTTGAGAGAAGAGTATATAATCTAGAATCATGCCTGAAACAACTGTAGGCAGCTGGCTGCTCAGTATGGTCTCCCTGGCCCAGGGGCAGTGGGCATCTTGGCCAGGGCAACAGGTGACCACTGTGCCTGCTCCCCCAGCCTCCTGGTGCGCTTTCTTCCCAAGACTGTAACACACATGAAGCTCTTTGAGGGACTTGGTGGGAGGGGCATGTCTTCTGGAAGAGTTCACCAGCAAAATTAATGAGAAACATACAATCCTTGGAGAGTCAAGTTTAAACCAGCACTAGAATATGAAAACCTTTCACTTCCCATTTGGTGGTCTTTGACCATTCTATGTCAAATGTTCATCCTTTAATATTATTTTGTGTGTTCTGCCTCTTTTTCAAAATCACGACTTTCAATATAACATTATACCTGGGTGGTTCAGTTGGTTAAGCATCTGTCTTCGGCTCGGGTCATGATCCCAGGGTTCTGGGATCAAGCTCCGCGTTGGGCTCTTGGCACAGTGGGGAGCCTGCTTCTCCGTCTCCCTCTGCCTGCTGCTTCCCCTGCTTGTGCTTTCTCTCTCTCTCAAATAAAGAAATTTAAAAAAAAAAAAAAAAAAAAAAAGCCAAGCAGTGAGGAGTGCTTCAACATACTCCCCTCTTGCACACTAGCTGGGTTCTGATGTTTTTACACTGTTTGCCCCTACCCCTTCCTGTGGCCCAGCGAAGTGTGCCTTTCTCCCATCACCAGGGCTTAAAAAAGCCCATTCCCTTTGGTGCGGTGGGTTCAGGAGTGGGCATGGGACCAATCCTGGCAAATGAAACTTGAAGGGAACTCTGCTGATGGTTTCTGGAGAAAGTTCTCACACCCAAGGCGGCCTTCCAAGAGACTTGCCTCTGGACATGATTCTGTCTGGATGACCTGACTGAAGCCACTGTGGTCTGGGGGCAAAGCCGGTACACTGTAGTTGCAGAGCAGAGGGAGAGAAAAACACCTGGTCCCCGAGGACATGGCAGAGCTGCGGGGTTTGCCCACTGTGGAGCCCGAGGCTGTCTCGTAAATTTATTAGGGTGTTTCCCCACTTCCACTCAAAGACATTCCTAGTGATACATAGAAAGGAATTCTAGACAGCAACATATACTCCAACTTTATGAAATTAGCTTGCAAAAGGAGAAAAAAAAAATGATTCTGTGTTCACATCTCTCAAAAGTAAATCTTTGACTAGATAGTTGCCAATTATCCCGAAGGTGAAGGAAAACAGAATTCTTAAGACACCATCATGGCCACAGCCCAGCTCCACAATCATTTTTTTTTTAATGGCACAAACAGAAAATGAGAGTTTGGACATACAGATGAAAGATGGAGATAGTAAGTGTCAAACACCCCTGTGCATTGTGTCAGAAAGGCCTGGGATGAACTGGAGTTGACCGAAAATAAAAGTACATGTTCACTGTGCTTGAAAGAAGAACAAAGCAGGAATACACCACTGCTTGTCACTGGCTTGCCTGAGAATCATTGACTTTTCATTTTATATATATATATATATATATATATGTACATATATATATATATATATATATATATATATTTTTTTTTTTTTAATATTGCTGTCTAGGCTTCTCACATTAGCCAAATTAAATCTGCCTACTTGTGGCTTGGAGCTGTCGCCTGAATTTCTGCCGATGACCAAAAACAGAACCACTTCAATACCAGGAATACGAGGGAACACAGCGGAGGGGTGGGAGTCAGTACATTTCAAGTGGGACTGGAAACCCAGTGAGATGGTGAAGCAGGGGCCAGCTACCGTGGGCTCAAGCCCCCAGACCCAGACCACTAGCATTTCCCAATTCTAAGGGAACATGGGCGAAGGCCGATCCTGTTCTGTTGTCAGGAGCAGAGGGGAAGCCCCAGACCCCCTGCACTCCTAATGGCCTTGGCACATGCTGGGACCACAAGAAGGCCCAGACAGCCCGCTCAGTATC